TGTGTGCTTGGGGGGGGGGGCGTGTGGGGGGGGGGGGGGGCGTGTTTGTGTGTGTGTGTGGGGGGGGGGGGGGTATGAGTGGCGGGGAAGCTAGGACACTTTGTGCACAGTTCAAACATATCACATCAATACACAGAATGACATTGTTTTATTCCTGGCTACTAGTATATACGGGCATGGAGATACTACATGTATATCCTTCATGTACTACGGTGCTGGCTAACCATATTAGAATAGGGAGAGAGCCAGGTTCTTGAAACTGTGCACTTGTTTGCAATGCACTGGTTTGCCCTGCACTTGTCTGCCCTGCACTTGTTTGCCATGCACTTGTTTGCCCTGCACTCCTTGTTAAAGACCTCCAGTGCCAGTGTTGCACCGACCTCCTGGCTCACAATGCGTTGCACGTGCAGTGTACCCGATCACTCTAGCATACTTCACAGTCCACAGTTCAGGGCAGTGCATGCCGCAGTACATACCTCGATAATAAACGTATACTTGTGTTTGGAAGTTCGGATGGCCAGCTTGGCATCGTCCAATCGTACGCATTCCCGGCAAGGCTCTCCATCACGTGCCGCTTTCTCTGTGGCAAAAATATCCAGGCGAAGGTCCCGTGTCTGGCCGTACTCGACCAATTTCACCCATTTCTTTCTCGACTGCAGAGCAGACAGACACAAACACAAGTGCATGTACACGTTGTGCTATGGCAAATCTGATCCGACAACAGGCAGCGTTTCTGTTATCCATGAGCCCTAGCTTCACAGTGACTTGCATACGTGGTTCACTACTTTCAAAGTGTTACAGCACAACTGATCAGTATCTCTGGACACGGGCATGTCTGTAAGCAATAGCTGGTGCAGTGTCACTTCAGCACAGCATACCCCCAGGGAGTATACCAACACCTGTATGTTGTAGTCACGTAGTCTTTATCCGAGGTCAAATAACAGGAAACGCCAGATGTGCAGGGTCCTCAACAGCACAGCACCAGCACTTCCAGTCATAATATTAATCTAGAGTACAAAGAGCAAACGGCATATTCCACCCAGGGTACTAATATTATAACTTTAATAGAGCAGTTTCCTATCATTGTCATGTGACTGCATTTGTGTAGATAGTGGACATGGAATGTGGCCAGTGGGACCAACATGGCCGACATCACATGACCTGTAGATGCAGGGATTGACTTGAAGTTTGAACTGCTGAGCTTGGCTGTCCCATGTGGTCATGTGACAAATGTGCAACAGCTCTCTATACTGAAGTTTTAGTGCAGTAGTAGTGACTGTAGTACACACACACACACACACACACACACACACACACACACACACACACACACACACACACACACACACACACACACACACACACACACACACACACACACACACACACGGGTGACTGACATGCCCAGAAGTTTGCTAACACCGAGCTGGTAGCCAACAGAGCCTCACCGTGGGCTGATAAGCCCAGCCCAGCATTGGCAGTAAATGTATACCATACTGTTCACAACAGATCTGATCTAAGAATTTGATGTCATTTGACACTGCCACTTGAGAACTGACAGTGGAGAGAAGTGAGCAACTGCAGTGCAGAAATCTATGGCTGGCAAGTTGACACAGCACGCAGTGAGCACATCCTCAGATACTACGTTTGCAACATTAGATTCTGACAACTGTCAGCGTTCGCACAAATGCCCAGCCCTTCCCAAACTACGCCCAACAGATGTTGTGCAAAGCGTATTTCACACACATGGCTGCTCCAAAGACATTGTCACTAAAGCAATAAAAATAATCGTCTTTTCTCAGTGATTAGCTCACTCTGAGAGAGAGAGAGAGAGAGAGAGAGAGAGAGAGATAGAGAGAGGGAGAGAAAGAGAGAGAGAGAGAGAGAGAGAGAGAGAGAGAGAGAGAGAGAGAGCACCTTCCCTTCTCTACAGCTATGGTCAGAAATGACAATGGTCTATCTATACCCATTATAGGTTCATTGATACACGTTCAGGTACAGTACCATTGCCGGTGATGGTAAGTTGAATGTGTTCTAGACACGCTTGCTAGTAGTATGATCTGGTCTTAAAACAAGACTCCATTCGAAATGCCCACGGAATCAAATTCACGTATTTCTAACGTTCTATGGTAAATGATTGCATGCTCGAACAATTCCCTGGTATTTTCTCGGAGTTTGGGATAAAAAGTTCTCAACAAGCCCCGGCAATTCCATCCTGTCTTTCCAAATCTGAGGAGTAAATCCAGCCAGGACTTTTGAAAAAATATACATGTCGCGGCATTGCTAGAATGCCAACGCTACTGTAGTTCACAGATACACGACTTTGGCTTTTTAAAAGCGTTTGAGATTTCTCTAGCCATTTCTGAGCCGTTGCTGTAGCCTTTGGACAAGGGCTACCGGATAGAGTAGAGGGCAAGAAGCCAGGTCGGGTCCGGGGGGGGGGGCTCACAGTATGATTGTACTGATCCCCCGGACAAGCAAGGGAGAGTAGCCAGGTCGGGGTTCTCTCATAGTACGTACTCATCACTCTCCGGACGAGAGAGAGAGAGAGAGAATAAGGGCAAGTAAGCACCTTGGTTGTGGTCTACTTGCTGTATGAGGGAATCCCCCCCCTCCCCAGGCCAGCAAGGACAAGTACCCTGGTCGGGGCCCTCTAGAAGTGTGTGAGTGACCAACCTCCGGACCAATAGGGACAAGTACCCAGGTCGGGGCCCTCTAGAAGTGTGTGAGTGACCAACCTCCGGACCAATAGGGACAAGTACCCAGGTCGGGGCCCTCTAGAAGTGTGTGAGTGACCAACCTCCGGACCAATAGGGACAAGTACCCAGGTCGGGGCCCTCTAGAAGTATGTACTATGTGTAGTGATGGGACTCTGGCCATGCACCAAGTACAAGCTTGGGTCTTTGCTCACTAGACTGAGTATGAAGCAATCAACCTCCATACCAGCAAGGCTATCGGGAGTCTACAAGGACGAGTAGTCATTAGAAATATTCTACTTGACGTATTTTATATACCAGGATCTAGTGGTGTGCCTGTACAATATTTGGGGCAGGGAGGAGGGGGGGGGGCATGGCATAGCATTTTTTCATTCACAGAAACAGTCAAATAGCACTTTATATTTCGGGCGCGATTTTAACAGTCCCAGACCGCCGGATGTGGGCAATGCATGACTGCATTACCCACCCCGTGCTTGCTAGACCATTATTACTAGACTTGGACCGTCACTAGACCAGCAGGGGTATTGGAAGGTATTTTTGTGTGCCACAGTCAGCCATCTGAAATGCAATTTACTCGTGGCGAGGCGTGGCTCAGCTGGACATTGTGGAAATGTAGAGCCCAAATCAGTGCCCTGATCAGTTTCACTGAGTGATTCACAGGATGCGTGAGGCAAAGAGTGCTACGTTCAATAACAGTGAGTGACTGAAGCGTGTCCAACAGGATCACTAGAACGGTAGTAGTAGTAGAACCGTGATGACTAGACCAGGATAACTAGACCAGGATCACTAGACCAGGATAACTAGACCAGGATAACTAGACCAGGATAACTAGACCAGGATAACTAGACCAGGATCATCCGTGTGGTGACTATTTGTAGGACATCACAGGATTTTAAACTAACACCGACTGCAGACAGTGCATGCAAGCATGTACAGTGAAATCTGTCTAAGACGACCGCTCAAGGGACCTTCAATGTGTGGTCTCTGTAACCAGGTGGTCTCCTTATCCAGGGTCATTCGACTGGAAATAGCATCCCTTGGTCCTGGTTTCGGTGGTCTTTTTGGACAGGTGGTCACCTTGACAGGTTTTACTGTACTCTGCAATGCAGTCATGCGTATTCGTATACAGATCCAGCGTCACTGGTATGGAGGGTACGGCCATGCCGGGGCGCTCCAGTGTAGTACTAATTCCAGCCTTCGTGGAATGTCCAGTGCGAGTACTAATAAGCTATCCTCGTTTCTTCCTCACTAGAGTTTCTCCCCCATAAACCACTCATCTTGTCCTATGAGGACTAATGTGCCAGCTGAATATCTGTTTCTAGCTCAATATGTAGCAGACACAACCAGATATGATGATGATGCAAAGAGCTGGAGATGCATACTCCCACACAGCCACGCTACTGACATCGGGCACCGGGAAATGATTGGCCCTGCAGCCCACCTGGGGCCGTGCACCCCCCCCCCCTCCACATGACACTGAAATTGGGCACGGGGAAATGATTGGCCCTGTAGCCGACCTGGGGGCGTACGCTATCACCCCTCAGGAGCTACCTTGGGGACTGGACCAGAAAAGCAGGGTGACCGATGGGATTCACAGTACATGAAAAACAGAACATTGTTACTCTGACCAGCTGCTGCCTTTGCTGGACAATCATTGTCAGAAAGAAGGGCTTTCACGAATTATGGTCGCCCCGTAACCCAATGCCCCCGAGCCAGATCACCCAACACGGACTGGTCCGCCAAAGTACCCACCAGGGGCACCACGTTTCAATCATTGCATCTACAATTCTACATAAAGTCATTGCATTGCACCCTGCTGTATACCCCACCGGTACCCCTGCTGCCAGTCCACACTGTACAGTATTATACTAGTCCACACCATGTACCAGTGATCTCTCGACGTAACAAACTATTAGTTACATGAAATCGCTACAGTACCCTGGACTGGACCTGAACTGGTACTCCAGTATGATCAGCAGGTAGATTTCAGCTTCCCCGCGAGAACACGCTCCGTTTCATGCTGGCAATTAGACAAAGCGCCAGCTGATTACCTATAAGCCTGTAAGTCGTCCGAAATCCAATTATCGTACGATCACAAGTCATGCAACAATACCCATTGGCATTGTAGCAGGGCATCGATGTTTTTTAGTTCGGGTTTTCTTGGTTCGGACACGATGGAGAGCATGACTGCTCGTGGCCCATCTACGCTTACCGTTAGCCGTATTCCTGGCTTCACCCGAGTCAAATAGCCTCGCTTGATCTCCGCCACCACAGCGCTCATGCTCGCTAGTTCAAGAACACCTCCACAGACGCACCGCTGCTATCCAGGCCGAAATTACCAAAATAATTTCGGAATGCCAAGAATATGATTGTGTTTATGCGGGGGACAATGGCACGGTGGCTAACACAGGCTTGATACACCAATAGCTCTAACAGATCAAGTGACCAGGTGACCGCTATCGGCTAACAATAAGTAATAACAATTAGCAGAGTGTTACCTCGTCAACGCGAGAAATAAATTGTGTTAGCTATAGCATGGCATGATCGGGGACGTGATATCCACTCGAGGTCAGGTCCAGAAGAGCTCCGAAACTGACAGAGCTAGACTAGAGGTAGGTGGCCTTTACATATACCGCACACTCTACTCTCGTCGTAGTACAGACAGTCTCGAGTCTTGTGTTACCCAGACACAATGCGCAGCTGCTCTCAGCTGTTCTGCTGTCAGTGAGGTTTTTTTTACCCAGCGCCAGCATTTTACCGGTACATTATTATTGACATGTACAAAGTCATGTAGATCTAATCTACCGGATTGACTGCACAGCTGTGGTGCTCGGATCCGGATGCGGCGGCCCCTGAGTCCTGACCCACGCCCGGACGTCGGCGAAGTCGGAGCCTAGCCTAGCCTAGGAAAACGACTAGCAGGCAACTCACGTGTACGTTCGAACGGTCACTGGTACATGCTCATGACCGGTCTACTTGTAGACTGTCCTGGCCTGTCCTACCGGCACCGGTAGGACAGGACTACATACATGTACAATGTAGGACCACAGTCAGAAACTGTTGTGTAGATCTTCCATGATGAAAGAGTAGGTTCTACTGTAGGTACGTCTTCTGCACACTCTACAGCAGACGTAGAATCATCCGATGGTAGATCTATGCAGTCCGGTAGGTGTCACAGCGAGAGTGCTGTCCGTAGTCGTGTGAGACTGAGCTTGTGCCCAAGTTGTGGCATAATAATAATATTGATCGACGACAACAACACCAACGCCGCGGGTAGGCAGTAGGCACTTCTGCTGTTTGTCTAGCACATCAGTCATGACAGTATGGTATGTCAACACTGGGAGAACACTCAGAACAGCCCGAACAGGTTCACTGCCAGTCGGAGTCCCTGCAAACCAGGGGCAGGGAGGTTGAACCGGTAGACTACTACCTGCTGCAAACATTGTTCTGTCGTGGACATGGAAATCCAGTCGATTGACCTGGGCCGGAGCCCTCAGCGCGTACTGTGAGAACAGCGCTTGATCCGATGCGATCAGCGGGCTGCAGGCTGTGCAGCATGTGTGCACTGCTTACCCACGGCTGCATGGCCAGCGCCCTGGGGCCGCTAGACGTGCGACCGGATTTCCATGTCCACGACAGTACTTCAAGTCTTGTTAGTAGATCTACCGACCATCGTCTGCCATGATCCACAAATTCTGTTCAGGATTCTTTCTGACTGCAGTATACCATGGTATACCATGGTACACTGACTGTGTACTGCCATGCATGGTGCACCGGTGGTGACAGCAGTCTGGGTTGGTAGTTGTTTTTTTATTTTATTTTATTTTTTACTACAAAGCACTGGCCAGCAACATAAAAGGGGAGGTATATAGATGTACATGTATGTCCCAGCCACGGACTTGTCAAATACCTCCTTGCCGACTCCCTGGTCCAAGCCGCAAATCTGACAGCTCGCTGTCACCATGGTCACCCCTCACACCTCACGCGTGTATAGTACGTGTGTATGCAATCATGTACTGATACATACATGTATGTACGCCTTGCAGCTTGGTTGGTTGAAAACACGTTGTTTGGTTGAACACAGTGCGTCCTCCGCCTTCTGGGAACATGCTCTCAACCAAACAATCATGTACAGTGAAACCTGTCTAAGACGACCGCTCAAGGGACCTTCAAAATGTGGTCTCTGTTACCAGGTGGTCGCCTTATCCAGGGTCAATTGACTGGAAATAGCATTAGATTTTGGTCCTGGTTGCAGTGGTCTTCTAGGACAGGTGGTCGGCTTATCCGAGTGGTCGCCTTGACAGGTTTTACTTTACAGTCATGTACATGTATGTGTGTTTGTGCCCGCGTGTGTGTTATCAAGAAACACTTCAAGGCCTGGGCACATACATGTACATGTAATGACGTGACATTGTCATTGGAACTCCACCTGATATAACCATGGACAGAAGACCGCTGGAACGCATTGAGCTGGCTAATGCTTGCATCACTATGGCCACGGCCGGGTTCAGCGTACTAGCACATGTACGTTCTTGCTGTGGCGATGTTGTACATGTATGTATGCGGCCATCGATTGGAGGCTTTTCTCCCCACTTCCAGACAAAAGCATGCATGAGACGACCGACGGTAACATCGAAGCAGTCCATGAACAAAGATTGGCACGCACTGGCACAGACCAGGCTTTTAGCAATGTTTGTCCGCATCGTCGAACATTGGTAACAAACAAGCGTTTATCTGCTTTTGAATAGTAATATTCAAAAGAAGGTGCAAAAATCTGTTGTCCCCCCCCCCCTCCCCCCAACCCCCCACACACAAGTCATGTGCACACGCCCGTCCACCCACCCACCCACCCGAACAAACACACACACACACACCACATGTCGATCGTGGAGCGGATAACTCCTATCAGTAACCAATGAGTTCTAAAAAGTTATCACCTACAAGTAAAAGGAAACAAAACATAGGAGTAAAAAAAAATAGCATTGCGTCAAATACTGCGCAAACGCCACAACATCAAAACTGGCACCAATAAGGTACGGGTAATAGTGCATCATTATAGGCAGTACAACAGCGTAGCATGGCAAGAGAGCGTGGCTAGCGTCAACAAGCTGATACCGGATATGCAGACGAGCAGCTACCCCGTGCCGTGCACAGGTATGCCGACTCTAAGTACGTCCTACTAATGCTGCCGCGGACTAGGCAAATGTGACGGCTGCTTCTCGCTCAGCTGGGTTCTAAGGCTGGGCTTGCTATTGCTAATAATGCTATGGATAAAAAGCAGAGATGTCGAGCCTGCTGTGGACACAAAACAGACCCATTGATCTGTGCCGATCAGAAAGTAGAGAGATTGTTCTGTGCCGATCAAAAAGCAGGGAGATTGAGTTGTGCCGATCAGAAAGTAGAGAGATTGAGCTGTGCCGATCAGAAAGCAGGAGGGGTTGAGCTGTACATTGAGATTGTGGCGCTTGATTAGTGAACCACACTGGTCACCTGACCACGTGAGCAACCTCTTCACACTAACACTCCACTGTTCAGGAGCAGCAGCAGCAGAAGGAGAAGAGTGAGACACTCAGGGCACGCGCGCACACACACAGATGTAGAAGATTAGCGCACTGCACACAGCATGGGCGCACGGAATAAGCACAGTAGGTGACGTCCACACAGGACAGTAACACTCATTAGTGCACGGACGTTGTCATTGACATGATTTCAGAAATGGCCTGATGCAGGGCAGACATTATTCCAAGCGCATTTCACTCTGCACAGCTATTCCCCCCCCCCCCCCCTGTTCACAGCACTCGGGGTGCATGGTCACTCCGCACAGCGATTGCCCCCGTTCACAGCACTCGGGGTGCATGGTCACTCCGCACAGCGGTTGCCCCCGTTCACAGCACTCGGAGAGCATGGTTCGCTGAACAGGGCCACGTAGCCCTTGTGCTGAACAACACCACGGCATGTGATGACACTGGAGTAGCGAGCCACCCAGCTGGGCTGCAAGCACCGACCGCCTGCCGCTGGATTTCGCACGCACGTCTGCACAGCGCCAGGAGCAAGCAGAGCTGAACAAACAGCACAAACAACAACAACAACAACAACAACAACAACACACACACACACGTGTGAGTGCAAGACCATGTGGCCCAAGAGCAGACAGGGGCAGGACACTGACAATGGGACATTTCAACTCTACTGCTTGTACAGTATTGTGGGCAGGGACGACGTCTTGCACCTGCACCTACTGTCGTGGACATGGAAATCCAGTCGAATGACCGGGGCCGGCGCCCTCAGTGCGTACAGAATGTTGCATGCACGGAGTGCTAATACAACTGCACATGTTGATCGCATGCGTAGATAGCAGAGGGCAGCAACAGTGCGGCGCATGTCCAGGCTGGGCACGTAGCAGCCATCGTCGATGACATGGAGTGCCCTACGTTGGATGGCTGTGAACTTGGCTAGCACGGAGGGTGCCACGCTCATCCATACCAGCATCCCATATTCCAAGATCGGCCGAACAAACCCACGGTACACTACGGCACGGCATCTCGAGTTGAGAGCCATGGCAGCCTTGCGGAAGCCGAGTCGATGTGCACCGCGTATTGCGAGGGATCGTATGTGCCGCTTGAAGCACAGCTGGCTGTCGAATGTGACTCCTAGGAGATGGAGCTGATCCACCTCCGGTACATCTGTCCCCTGGAATGTGATACAGGGAACTGGGTTGTGGGATTGTCGGTGGGTGATCGTTAGGGCTTGCGATTTCGTCGGCTCAAACCTGATCCGCCAGAGGGTGCTCCAGTCGGCAAGTGCATCAACAGCCTGCTGGAGCGTTGCGACTCCATCTGGGATATTGGCTTGGGTTGTGATACACTTCTATACCGTGGTGTCGTCGGCATATACTGCATAGCTTAGCCCCTTCAGGTAAGTGGTCCTGTGCATCGTTGATGTAGATTAGGAACAGCGTTGAGCCGAGGACGCTGCCATGCGGCACCCCTGACTGGATGTCACGGGTAGTGGAGGCCTGGCCACCTATGGCAACTTTGATCTTGCGGCTAGTCTACTCACGGCTGCATGGCCAGGGCACTGGGGCCGCTTGACCTCCGACTGGATGGTTCCATATCCACGACGGTACATGCACATAGTCAAGTTGCACATGTAGAGCTGTGCTGAACAGGACAACTCTGCCACGCGAGTACATTGTAGCTGTGTCTCTTACGCAACACCATGCATGTAGTACTACACGCTGTGAATGCTGCCTAGGCATGTTCATTCAGTGCACCGGCTTAACGGCTTTGCATAGCACAGGCTACACTAGCTACTGGATCACAATGACACGGTGATACGTTTACGTCTCCCGTATAGACAGTGTCACAACATGATGACATCAAAATTGTGCTTACCAACTTCTAAAGAAAAGGGGGTTTGTCAACTGACAACCGCTCTATTCAGTCGCTATTCACAATCGCCGCATGCGCTGGATGAAAAATTAATTTGATTGCGATGTAAAAATCATGACGTTTAGGGCCAGTCACCCATCGTCAGAACTAACTTCTAAACAACAAACAAAACTAACACAAACTACCAAAACATTACGATAACTTACTCCTCGGGTCTGGATGTGTTTGCAGCTGGATACCCTTGCTTTGTGCAAACTCCACCAGGTCCTGGAAGCACACACACAAAGATAAAATAGGATCGGACATGCTGCGCCAAATTAACGGTAATTGTCTTTTCTACAAAGCAGATTGTAAGGGTGTCCAATTACCAAATGATGTCTACACACCTACGCCGTTCACATCAGTCTGAAAGAACACACCGGCAATGTCGTGAATATGCATCACGAATCCGCGTTACGCTCATTATGTCTTTATTTGTTTATGTGTTACATCATGTTGACGTCATGCTGATGTCTTGCTGCACGCATCGCGTGCACCGTTTTGCAGCTCTCAGCCCGGAGCATGCGCAGCGAGCCTGTCGCTCCTTTTTTGCTGCCTTTTCCCTTTTGCATGCTTCACTTGTCTCTACACTGTACTTGTCTCAACTAACTAGAACTTGTCTCAAATAAGGTTTTCTGGTGACACTCCTTTTCAAGTCACCTAATCCTTTCAAGTAACAAGTGCAATGTCGTTCCGTGAACCGGAACCACTCCATATTTGAGTTACCAAGACGTATTTGTGCGTGGCTATCCAAGCTCTCCCACTCAACAGTTCAAAGTTGCGCACAAACTTGGTGCCGAAACCCGGGAATGCCACCAAAAAAGGCTTCGAGTGCCGATGCTCCTAATCCGGCATCAACTAAGCGGTATCGCGGCAAGATACTTCGGCTGCGGAAGAGCATCCAGCAATGCCTCGATGACGGCAATGCATTATTGTCTGGAGCTCCCTCATCTGCAACAGCAGAAAAGCTAAGTGAAACATGTGCATCTTTAGAGTCCGATGTCGTAGCATTTGATGAGGTCTGTGAACTTTTGTCAAATTGTGTTGATTCCTCCGCCCTGGAGAGCTCTGACGAAGCTGCTTGTAAACAGGAAGCAGACGATAATCTGGACTTCCAGTTTGAAGCTATGAGCGTGATCAAAAAGCTCAAATTCCGAATTTCTCAACTGAAATCAGCAGCAGATTGTCAGACCTCTCCAGAGTCGAGTACTAACAAATCGGACGACGACTCAGTTGTCAAGCTAATGCAAAGCCAGATGAAAGAGTTACTCACCATTCATCGTCAAACACAGGAACAAACTCAATCTCTGCTACAACAGCATAGTGAATCACTCACCACTCAAGCATCTCACAAGTCCACTGTCAATTTACCAAAGTTAGGTTTACCTAAATTCAATGGTGACATCCTGCAATGGAAGTCTTTCCACGACATGTTCATGGCATCTGTACACAAACACACTGGATTAAGCGATGTACAGAAGCTTTCCTACCTAAAGGAGCATGTGACACACAATGCACTCGACACCATTTCTGGTTTGTCTCTGTCAGATGCAAATTATGCTGTTGCTCTTGGCCTGCTCGACGAGCGTTATGGCAACACGCAGGTGCAGGTTAATGCTCACCATGTCGCCCTGATGGAAACTCCACCGGCAACCAACAAGCCGTCCTCGCTCCGTAAGCTGTACGATACGGTAGAACTACATCTACGCAGTCTCAACGCTCTTGAAGAAGACACCGACCAACCAATCTTCATTTCACTGATGACCAGCAAGCTTCCGCGTCACGTGCTTGCGCAACTTGAGTTGCAGAAAGGCATTGATCCATGGTCTGTCGCCGAGTTGAGAGTCAAACTGTGTGCGTATATAGTAGCGCAGGAGACAGCCGAGCGCCAATCCAGTCATGCCGCCAGTAGCAAACATGAACAGCCGTCTTCCGTACATAAGTCGTCCGTACTTCTTGTTGGCGAGTCGAGTCGCCAGTCACAGCCAAGAAAGAAAGTCTGCGCTTTCTGCAGGGAAAGTCACTACTCCGACATGTGTTCCAAGTATAGCACTCTTGAAACAAGGAAACCACGCCTCGGCGACAAGTGCCAACGGTGCCTACGGCCAGGCCACAGTGTTTCGTCATGTAGTCTGCAGAAACCTTGCTTCTATTGTCGTAAGCCTGACCATCACTCCAGTTTGTGTCCCGTGAAATTCGGTGCACAACCAAGCTCCGCAATGTGTGCCAACGCGGCACCTTTCCAGCCACATCCTGCCATTACCACAGTCGCAGGCAACAACCAGTCCGTTGTCATGCAAACCGCAGTTGCAGATGTAGTGTCCAACTCTTCCGGTACCCCGACCACGCTGTCTGCACGTATACTGTTCGATAGTGGCTCTTGCCGGTCGTACGTCACGCAGGCGCTCCAGACGAAAGCCAACCTCAGTGTTCTAGGTCAAGATCACATTGCCCTCTCTACTTTCGGTAGTGCATCGAGAAACACGTCTCAGTACCCACGCGTTGAGGTCAATCTCAAACTGAAGAATGACTCAATCCTTCCGCTGTCCGCCAATGTGATTCCCCAAATCACTTCACCGATATGGCGCGTCCCCTTGGACACCAACAGACACCCGAGCCTCAACACCCTTCCTCTTGCGGAGCCGCTCACGTCATCCAACGATCGCCTGTGTATCGACATCCTCATTGGTCTTGATCACTACTACAAGATCCTGGGCACAGACCGCATCTCCTTTCCCGATGGTCTGCAGCTGTTGGACTCGTCACTTGGTTTCGTTTGCGCCGGCACAGTAGCAACTGAGCACGCCTGTTCGGTAATCGAGAGCAACACCACTTTAGCCGTAGCAAGTCATCGACGAGAAGATCCCTCGTTTGACCTTGAGCGCTTCTGGGCTGTTGAAGATTTCGACTCTCTCAGTGAGACACGCCCCAGCAACGATCATGCGTATGACGACTTCCTCCAATCGGTCGTGTTTGAGGACGGACGGTACACCGTCGGGTGGCCTTGGCGACAACAACATCCGCCTTTGGAAAACAACTTTCCACTTGCTCTTGGACGTTTGAAGTCACTCATTAATCGTCTCCGTCACGAGCCTGATACCTTCGTCAAGTACAGCAAGGTACTTGAAGAGCAACTGTCACTTGGTATCATCGAACGCGTTGCTTTTCCCAGCCAGAGAGACAACTCGCATCCAATCCACTACTTGCCACATCACTGTGTGCTCAAGCTGTCCAGCAGCACCACTAAGATCCGTGTCGTGTACGACGCATCCGCTCGTGTATCGAAGACTTCGCCCAGTCTCAATGATTGTCTGTACCCTGGGCCGTGCATGATCCCTGATCTCTGCGGCATTCTCCTGCGTTTCCGTATGCACCCTATTGCCGTCTGTAGTGACATCGAGAAAGCGTTCTTACAGATGAATTTGAACGTAGCCGATCGTGATGTCACTCGTTTCTTGTGGTTGGATGACCCCAACCAACCAGTCAACTACAGCAATCTCCAAACTCTGCGTTTCTGTAGAGTCCCTTTCGGTGTTGTTTCCAGCCCTTTCCTGCTGTCTGCAACAATCAAGTACCACCTCACGCAGACCTGTTCACCGGAGACAGACGACATTCTCCGAAACACGTACGTAGACAACATCATCCTGGGCAAGGACACCATCAACGATGCTGTCGCTCACTATCAATCAGCAAAGGCGACGTTCTCCGCAATCAGCATGAACCTTAGAGAGTGGGCATCGAACTCTTCCGAGGTTTTGGACAAGATCCCAGAACACGATCGCTCAAGAAGCACTCGCGAGAAATGCCTTGGTCTCCATTGGGACCCCAGAGAGGACGTCTTGTCCGTACAGTCGCCTAATGCAGCTAACCTTGTTGTCACTACGAAACGCCAGGTTCTACAGGCACTGTCTCGCTTCTTCGACCCGCTTGGCTTGTTCGCCCCCGTCTCCATCAGAGCGAAGGTTCTTATGCAAGATATCTGGAAGCTTGCTGTGTCATGGGATGACCCACTGCCCTTCGACGTCCTCAGTCGCTGGCACCCAATAGCCGCCGACCTTGACGTATCTAGCAGCTATCCGATCTTACGCTACGTTGGCGTACCCACATGTAAGAGCCCGTCGTATCAGTTGCACATCTTCTGCGATGCGTCAGCGATCGCCTATGCTGCCGTTGCGTACTTGGAAAGCACTGTCGGTGATAAGAGTCAGCGCCATATTATCTTCAGCAAGACGAAGGTCTCTCCCGTCAAGGGTCAAACGATCCCACGGTTAGAGTTGATGGCGGCAAGCCTAGGATCTCGCCTTATCGTGTACCTACGCAAGCAACTGGACATCCAGTTCCAAGCCACTCATCTGTACACCGACTCAACGACTGTACTCCATTGGCTCAAGTCCACGAAGCTCCCCGTCTTTGAGCAGAACCGCGTCAACGCCATCGCAGCCGTTCCAGACGTTCTCCACCACTACGTCCCGACAAAGCTGAATCCAGCCGACCTGCCATCCCGTGGATTGAGCGCGGCAGCCTTGTTAAAATGCGACGCCTGGTGGAACGGCCCCAGCCTGCCGATTGAAGGCACCACTGCAGCAACCGTCACTGTTGCGCCGGCGGAGGGTCCTCCGGAAGTCACCTCAAAGGGGTCGGGGGGTCAGCCATTTGGTCAGGGTTCACAGACAAATAAAAAATCTGATGTATTCCCATATGGCATTGTTGTGAACGACTTCTCGTCGTTCGACTCTTTAGTGCGTGTGTCTGCACTTTGCTTTCGTTTCCTCTGTAGGCTGCGGAAGAAACCAACTCCATCTGGACCTCTCACGCCTAAAGAAATCGAAGCAGCAGAGCAAGTCTGGATCAGCCACAGCCAGTCTACACACTATGCAGATGTTATCACCGCTCTGTCCAGTGGGAAGCAACATCCGCTGGCAACTAAGCTCAACTTAGTGCTCGACAACGGAGTACTGAGATGCCGTGGAAGACTGGAGAATGCTGACCTCTGCTCCAAATCGAGGTTTCCCGTCCTGATCTCCAAGGAACACGCCATTGCCAACCTGATCATACGTGATTGCCACCTCAAGGTCATGCATGGCGGCGTAGCGCACACACTATCCCGTGTCCGATATCAGTTTTGGATCCCGAAAGGCAGATCAGCTGTAAAGGCCCTCGTGCGCCGCTGTCAGACGTGCATTCGCTACGAAGGCGCGCCATACAAGACACCTCAGATGAGTCCGCTACCTTCTACCAGAGTGACCCAAGCGCGACCATTCTCACACATCGGCCTGGACTACTTTGGCCCAGTCCTCGTCCGTACACAGTCAGAAACCGCTAAGGCATGGGTCTGCCTGATCACGTGCATGGTGACCAGAGCTGTTCATTTGGAGCCAGTCCACGACATGACAGCTGCCGAGTTTCTGCTCGCATTGAGACGTTTCGTCGCCCGCCGTGGCACGCCAGAGCTAGTTGTGTCTGACAACGCTCCCCAATTTAAGCTGGCCAAGTCCGCTCTTGACATTGCCTGGAGCAACATTGTGGTGGACACCAGTGTTACGTCCTACATTAGCCGCCAGTGGCACTTCATCGTTGCCAACTCTCCGTGGATGGGTGGAATGTATGAAAGGCTTGTGGGTATTGTCAAGCGTTCTATGCGCAAGACCATTGGGAGACGCCTCCTCACAACCAGCCAACTCGCCACTCTCCTGCCAGAAGTTGAGTCTGTCGTCAATTCTCGGCCGCTAGTCTATGTCGACGAAGAACAGTGCACAGTGTTGACGCCTGGTCATTTTATCAGCCTGTCTGCCACACAGGGGTTCTTCACGGTCAGCAACGACCCGACCGACCCGGATTATCAGCCTATCAATTCCTCTCCAGACAGCCTGTTGGACCTTTGGAAGAAGGGCCAACGACACCTTGATCAGTTCTGGCTCGCCTGGAGGAACGAGTACCTCCTCAGTCTGCGAGAAGCCCACACGTCGTCTTTTAAGCAATCAAGGACTCGATCCTCAACGTTTCCGAAGCCTGCTGACGTTGTCCTCATCAAGGAGGAGTTGCCTCGCGGCCACTGGCGCCTTGGACGAATCCAAGAAGTCCACACCAGCAGCGATGGCAACATCCGCTCCGCCACCGTCCTCACTTCGGACAAACGCACCGTCAAGCGGCCAGTAAGTCTACTGTGTCCGCTTGAGACCAGCAGTCCCTCGGAATCCCCAGGTACCCCAGCTCAGGAGACCAGCAGTTCCTCAGAATCCTCAGCTACCCCAGCTCAGAAGACTAGCACTCCCGTTGCAGTCGTACGAAGACCGACACGAGCCGCTGCCAGCAAGTTTCAGTCCAACTTGCAGGATTTGATCGCCGATGGCCGTGTTTAACTCTCTCTCTCTCTCCCTCTCGCTCTCATTGCTCTCGCATTCTTTATGCTCTTCAGTTATCTTTCCACATGTTTTGTGTGAAATTTCTCCTTGTTATTAATTATGATTAATTCTGTTCTCCGGCCAATGCCCGGGGAGTGTCGTGAATATGCATCACGAATCCGCGTTACGCTCATTATGTCTTTATTTGTTTATGTGTTACATCATGTTGACGTCATGCTGATGTCTTGCTGCACGCATCGCGTGCACCGTTTTGCAGCTCTCAGCCCGGAGCATGCGCAGCGAGCCTGTCGCTCCTTTTTTGCTGCCTTTTCCCTTTTGCATGCTTCACTTGTCTCTACACTGTACTTGTCTCAACTAACTAGAACTTGTCTCAAATAAGGTTTTCTGGTGACACTCCTTTTCAAGTCACCTAATCCTTTCAAGTAACAAGTGCAATGTCGTTCCGTGAACCGGAACCACTCCATATTTGAGTTACCAAGACGTATTTGTGCGTGGCTATCCAAGCTCTCCCACTCAACAGTTCAAAGTTGCGCACAGGCAATCTTTGAACCAAACATTGCCTTCATTAGAAAATTGTCCTCATCTGTCTGGTTATTTGTGCATCTGCTCTACCTCAATAAGAAACAATGCAAAGAAATGTCATCATCACTATTCAAAGCCAAGAACAAACCTGTGGTATAACGCAGCAGGACGCAAGGTTGACCTGGTTGATGGATGGCTGTACCTGAACATGGTGAATACACAAGCACATTCCCACAAGCATGCACACACACATGCACATGCACACATATACGTACACACATACACACCCACACACCCCAACCCGGCACGCACGCACGCACGCACAACACACACACACACACACACACACACACACACACACACACACACACACACACACACACACACACACGCACGCACGCACACACACACACATGTACGCAAAGGCATCCAGCACATGCATACTTCGAAGTAGACATCAAGAAAGAGCAGATACAACAAACACTACTCTATAAAAATACCAGCGGTGGTGCTCATGCTCGCAACGATCATCACAGTGGTTTGGATAGTGCAATGGACAGTGATCATCACATTGGTTTGGATAGTGCATTGGACAGTGCATTGGACAGTGCATTGGACAGTGCATTGGATAGTGCATTGGATAGTGCATTGGACAGTGCATTGGATAGTGCATTGGATAGTGCATTGGACAGTGCATTGGACAGTGCATTGGACAGTGCATTGGACAGTGCATTGGACAGTGCATTGGATAGTGCATTGGACAGTGCATTGGATAGTGCATTGGACAGTGCATTGGATAGTGCATTGGACAGTGCATTGGATAGTGCATTGGACAGTGCATTGGATAGTGCATTGGACAGTGCATTGGATAGTGCATTGGACAGTGCATTGGATAGTGCATTGGACAGTGCATTGGATAGTGCATTGGACGAACCTTGTCTGTCACATAAAGCTGCATGTCTGTCAAGAGATATCCATCACTGTACATGCATACACACACACACACACACGCACGCACACACACACACACGCACACACACGCACGCACACACACGCACACACACACGTGCGTATCAATAAAAGTATCATATCGTGTTGTCAAGCTTACCTTAGCCCAGGAGCAAAGCAGTTCTAAGCTTTTGACATCAAGATCAGCAATGCCAAGCTGACCAACTTGCCCGGCGTCAAGCAGTTCCTCAGCAACCTAAACAAAGGAGGAACAACATAGCAACAACAACACCACCATCACCACCAACAACACCACCAGCACCAGCAGCAGCACCAGCAGCAGCACCAACACCAGCACCACCAACAGCACCAGCACCACCAACAATAGCAGCAGCAACAGCAGTGAAAACAACAACAATAGCAGCAGTGACAACACACAACAATACAGATTGGCACAGAGGTATAACCCTAGGTTTATCAACGGTAAACTAAGCTTATGTGCCAGACACCCGGCTTCCAACAAACAAAGAAGCTAAGACAACAAGTTCACAGTCATCAGTTCACACAGCAGGCGGACGCGGATACGGACTATCAAGAAAGCAAAGCAGACCTCCCAGTATCAGGGTCAGTGATGTGAAAAACTCAATCAGGGAAATCCTTAGCAAGCTTGACGTCTGTGTAGGAGACTATATGACATTAAGATTGAATGAATTTTGTCACGGTCTCTGCTGGGATGGCGGCTATATCATAGCTCAGTGGTTAGACCGTTAGAGCATCGCTGGCCTCAAGCCAAGATCTCTTGTTCGAGTCCTAGTTGTGACACTTATTTTTTCTTCAGACTTTTCCCGTTTGCATCGTTCCCTCAAACCAATAGAAACGTTTCATGTGAGCAATAAATGGACTTGATCCACCTTCACCACATGCGCTCACTGGCCGACCTCATTACCGAGAGAAATAAATCATGAGTATGTGAAGCAGGAACGGCTGCTGTGCAAGTTGCAGGCCACCACTGCCAAGCATGAGACTGAGCATGACAAGCCTGTGTCCTTCCAACACATTCCAACATACTGCCCAGAGACCAACAGGACCGTGTACAGATAGGGAACGTGTGTGCGTACGTCTCTTTCAGACAACTTACCTTCCACACTGGGCAAACAATCTCCTCGGGGAATGTCTCGCTGTCATCCAGCGGCAGAGACAGAAGCAGCGTGTCGATCTTTCCCAACTCCAGCTCCGACAAAACTATAAACGAAGGTTATCATGGTGAAAACAAAGTAGAGAAGAGATAAGAGAGGGGGGGGGGGTGTAGATAGAGGGATAGATAGATAGATAGAGATAGAGATAGAGAGAGAGAGAGAGAGAGAGAGAGAGAGAGAGAGAGAGAGAGAGAGAGAGAGAGAGAGAGAGAGAGAGAGAGAGAGAGAGAGAGAGAGAGAGAGAGAGAGAGAGAGAGAGAGAGAGAGAGAGAGAGAGAGAGAGAGAGAGAGAGAGAGAGAGAACAGTCCAACAATTGCAAGCATCCTCCAAAGAAAATTACAACTGTCATGGAAGAAATTTCCAGACCCCAAATCTTCTCCAGAATAGCTAAAGCCACTGCGTGAATCCCTCTGAATACAGTGGAAAAAAGTTAGTAGTTGAGCACTTCTGTACACACCTGCAATAGCACCAACGCATTGCTGAACCCGCGTGCAATATAGATGATATGCCAAATAACGTGCAACTAGACTTGGGAGGGCATTGCAGAGTAGTTGCATACAAAGTTCAAAGTTGTACGGGTACCTGTGCCAAGGGGGGGGGGGGGGGGGGGGCGTTCGTTGTTGATCTACAGGTTTGGGTAGAAACTACTTCTTTCGGTAGAGGTGTTCGTTTTTTGAAAAAAATTCTACTCAAAAGGGTAGATTCTACTTTCCTCTACCGGCTCTACCAGGAAAAAGTTGGTAGAATCCGGTAGAAGTTGGTGGAGCTACGGGATTTCCAGCAAGATCAAGGATTTGTACACAACTCCATCCAAAAAAGGAACATTTGACGTACACATCGTGTAAACTACCCCCAATCCGGTAGAACAGCGTTCGTAAACTTGCCTCTACCATCTACCTCTATCGGTAGAGTGACTCTGCTCTACTCTACCAGGTAGCTAAAAACGAACGCAGCCTTGTATTCCTGCAGAGCTCAGGGCCTACCGTGTACACATTGTAGTATAATGTGTATGCAACTTGTGTGTGATGCCCTCTCAAGTCTAGATGCACGTTATTTGGCATATCATCTATTGCCGCACCACCGTACCCCCTTGCAATATTACACCGTACTCAGTCTATTGCCCACACGTCTACTTTTGACCTTTTTTCTTCTCTCTACTCCGCGTTGCTGACCATTGCTGTTGCAGCACGTATGCTGTCTGCCTACAAAAGCTGCTGATTTACCATCGTTCCGTGTTTGCATGTGCTTGTATTTGTAAGATAATCCCATCATAGCTATTGCTAGTCATCATGGATAGTCATCATGGGTAGTCATCATAGCTATTGCTAGTCATCATGGATAGTCGTAGAGGATAGCTACTTGTGAGCCAAGAGTACTCATGTATTTCTGCGTCCAAAGGAAAGTTAATAGTTGAGTTTAGTGCGAAAGAAGGTAACTTGTCCTCATGCTAGTAATCTGTTCCTGAGATGCTTGCTGGCGTAAGTCCTTGTGATCAGGCTACAGTCACATCCCCGTCACAGATGCTACATAAGGAGCAAATACATTTTTCTTAACGGCTGGCGGCCATAGCCTTCATCAGACTAACCATTGTGCTGGACACAACACAGGGACAGTGTGTGTGTGTGGGTGTGTGTGTGTGTGTGTTGGTGTGCGTGGGTATTCTTCGCTTCTGCTGCTGCTCCCCCCCCCCCCCCCCCCCCCCCTCCTCCCAGCACACACACACACACACACACACATCCCTGACCCGAACTTTGCAAAAGATAGATCAAACAGCAGTTTAAGATCATGCCTCATGGTGGTAGTAGTGGTGATTATAAGAGTAACACTATATACGAGTAAGGACAGAGGGAATATATAGAGGTCAAGTGCAAAAACAGACACTACAGATACCAGTTCTCTCTGCCTACCTCTCGTGACAGCATCCCGTAGCAGCTGGGGCTGCATGGAGTTCAGAAATACCTTCACTGCACACAACAACAACAAAACACCAGATAGCAACAAACTTGAACAAAGAATCAACTCTGGGACACTATCGGGTCTATGGTCTGCACGCCAGCCACACAGCATAGTAGCTGAGCACGCCCATGGAGACTTGAGGAGACTTCATCTCTACAATTTCACTGCTCCAGGAAAAAGAATAACCAGAGAGAAAACTGACTTCTGCGGAAATTCCTGACATGTGTGGGTGGTGCGTGGCACGTCATAAATGACCGTGTAGTTACCTGTTATGGAAAGATTAGGCCTCTCTGCCTCCGTTATGGTCTGTATAGCTGAGCTGTGGCGCACGCATGCCAATCCTTCATTCTAATATAGATAGTGAAGAAAAACAACAACAACAACAACAACAACAACAACAACAACAACAACAACAACAACAACAACAACAACAACAACAACAACAAGAGCAGCAGCAGCAACAACAACAATTATTGGCCATCGTGAGAATAAAGATTAGAAACAACAGCAACATTCCACGTGGCAAAGCATCAGCAGCAGAACAGTGATTTACAAGTGCAGGTAGGCACTATGCATGTAACCACTACAGCCTACTGGACTCAACAACAGAGAGTTCTGAGTTGTCGGCTAACAGTCTGAGTCAGTACAGCTGTTTGAAAGTGTTGGGCATTTGGAAATGCTATAAGACCAGTACAGATGCTTATTAGGTACACATTTATTTTCTCGTTTGTTAGATAATCACGACCGCCCCAACTCACTCCCGGACACGCACTCGCAACAACGTCCACAACGAGTTCTTTGGCGAACAGTGTTCATATAATTATTGGAGAAGAAGCAGAGAATGTGGGAGAGCGAAAAACACAAGTTTGTTCCACGGCCAACTCTAAAAAACTAACTGGAACTGATGTAGTTCTTCGTTGTACGCACTGTACGCATGAGAGCACGCCAGTTGCATGCCAGCGCGCAAGCGAGCAATAGATGAACATGAAACGGACACCAGAAGTAAAAGGATCTGGCGGTGACACAAAGTCAAAGGGAATGTATTACATGTCGGGAGACCATCAATGAGCCATGGTAGCCGGCGGGTGCAACAAGGAATGTAAGACAGAAGTTAGAGCAACGAATACTATGCATGGTCTCACATCACCCCTTAGCGACTCATGTCACTACCGAATAGCTACAACATAATCATGAATATCGAGCAGGTCGCACGAGCGTAGACCGGTCGCGCAATGATGGGCCTGCAGCAGGCGGCGGCGGCGTGACCGGGTCAACGCTCAATACCAGAGACGGAACAGGGCCCGACTCGGCTTCATCGCTGGCACCCGGAGCGACGGGCGGCGGCAGATCGTCCTCGGCGGCACGCCTTAACAAGTCGACATTCACGATCTTGTCACGGCCGGTGCCGTCGACCCGATGAACCACCACCGTCGAGGGGCCCACGATCGACATAACTTGCCAACCAGGCTCGTACGGGGTTAGGCGCTTCTGGCAGCGCTGAGGCCGGCGAAGCATGACCGCATCGCCAACAGTCAAGCGGCTCGGTGTCGGCTCGTCGATGAAGTCGAAGCGGCCGAGCGCAGACTCGATGTAGTCTCGCATCGCCGCTGCCCGCTGCTGGAGGTCGTCTACCCATGAGCCAGCCGATCTGAAGGTCCCTGGTTCATTCCCGGGTTTCGGCACCAAGCTGTTAGATAATCACGACCGCCCCAACTCACTCCCGGACACGCACTCGCAACAACGTCCACAACGAGTTCTTTGGCGAACAGTGTTCATATAATTATTGGAGAAGAAGCAGAGAATGTGGGAGAGCGAAAAACACAAGTTTGTTCCACGGCCAAATCTAAAAAACTAACTGGAACTGATGTAGTTCTTCGTTGTACGCACTGTACGCATGAGAGCACGCCAGTTGCATGCCAGCGCGCAAGCGAGCAATAGATTAACATGAAACGGACACCAGAAGTAAAAGGATCTGGTGGTGACACAAAGTCAAAGGGAATGTATTACATGTCGAGAGACCATCAATGAGCCATGGTAGCCGGCGGGTGCAACAAGGAATGTAAGACAGAAGTTAGAGCAACGAATACTATGCATGCTCTCACACGTTTATACTATATTTAATATTGGCTGAGTACCCGAGTTGATTTCTGCACTCATTGATATACAGTACATACTGGCAGAGAGTCGGATGAGACCGAGGACACGGTTTTCGTGATGCTGTTCTTGAACTGCACATAGAGCACAACAACAAACACGTGCACACACAGACACAGACATAGACACAACACAGTGAGCATTTTCAAAATCCATAGAAATCTAAAAATCATTTGGGACCCTGAACTATAGTTGCGCTCGGTGAAATCGGACCCAAAGTGCAAAGCTGGCGCCCGGGATCAGTTTCATTTATTTCATTGTGTTTGTACATTGTGTACTTCCAGCCGCATTCGTGCCACTTCTAGGGCGGCAAGGGCCGTGCAAGTTGAGGGCGCCAAATATGCACTCTGGGTCAGATTTCACCGAGCGCAACTGTACATGATAACCACTGTTGCCGATAGTGACAGTGACAGCATACACTGACACTGGAAAATCACCGGCAGTCCTGCGCAGACAAAACATACGTTTGCTGTGAATGATGCTAGCCTAAATTTCAGAATTGTCGACGGAAACTATTGGTAAGTTTGAGACAGGGAATAGTAAAATACCGTTATTTTACGATTCCCAGGTTGGAGGGTTGAAGCCTTCGCAAGGTTTGACGGAGAAGGCCAAGAGAAGTCAAAGAGTCTTTTCGACTTGCAGGATACTGTGCGTGTGTATGCGGTGACCATCCACGTGGCCAGTGCATTATCAGTAACGCAACGCTTCCACTACTGTTCCCTGTGTGCCGTCATGGCTACCTGGCTATTGAGTACTAAACGGTGTCCCAATTGTCACTTTTCTCATTTCCCTCACAACCCTACTTATCTGCCGTGAATGGCCAACGCACACGCTCTTCACATTGGCAGGTGTTCCCATTGCGCCTTCAGGTGTTAACATGTTGCAATAAATATAAAACAAATTGATGAAATAAACATGCTTTACGAGAGGGATAACATTAATTTTCTCACCTCTTCTTCTGTGGACTGGTTGGGTTTCCAGTTAGCCTCGCGCCACATCGACAGCTTCAAGTTGCCCGTATGTACCAACAAACTGTGCGCCATGTTGACTTACCGGTCAAACGATCACTCAGTATCAGTACAGCCTTTACTACAATGCTACTAGATGTAGAATGTGTTACAAACTTGCAGAAAAGGAAAATCGCGCTCAGTCTCCACAAACCCCGTTGATACGACTATCACACGGCCGCCAGGAAGAGATGGTTCAGCGCAGATGAAAGAAAACAACAGCCAAACAACATGGACCAGGCGAGATCGAAGCACAGATCCGGTGGTGTGATGTTTAGTGATGGCAAGGATGACTTTGTAACCAGTTGATTTACAAAACAGGCTGCGTCCCGGACGAAACTAACTGAGCAAACAGATTGGGAAGTGGGAGATTTGGAAGCTGGGCGAGCCCAATTCCACGCAAGGAATGAACCTGACTGTGAGTGATTTGTCACTTGTACATTGTAGTTGTAACTAAAAAGCACTTGTTATGTACTTGAAAACGAACCAGTCATTCTGCGAAGCAAAGAACTGACGAGAAGGTCATCGATGCGTTTGCCTTTGACATTGGGCTGCTTTGCCAAGCGTTGGGGTTTCCCCACTCTGGATTGCTGTTGTTATGGTTTCCAGCATCAATGATTACGTAATGGGAACCCAGTATGAGCTCATCAGCACAGCGTCATGAAAAAGCGATTTGAAAAATAGGTGTTTCCTTCTTCTTCTTTTTTCAATCAGCATCTGCATTCAACTGTGACCTTTTCATCTTTCCTGTTTCGTCCGGACAATTTTGGTGTTCGCTGCTGTAAAATCAGACCCTGGCCCTGCTGCCGAACATCCAAGTAATGAGCTGTGCCTGATCCAGTTTTTTAAATAGATGTCCGTGAAAGGGTGAGAACGAGAGAGTTTTCGGAGAATTGTTTAGCTCCTCACATTATTTGTGCACAATAGTCAATAGTCCATTGGACAATAAAATGGTTCCTAAAAACCGAGGGCTGCTTCCTGGCAATGTGGGAGACTTCAGTGGCTTGATTATTGTCCAGCTGGGGCTGCCCGCCATTCTATTCTTCGAGCTGTACGAAGTTCTGCCAACACTCTACGCAGACAGTCCCGAGTATGTTCGCAACTTGTCCGTATTTGTACTCTGTCTGTTTTTCAATACTGAGTTGAGTTTCTGGATGACGGTGCTGAAGACGTGCTCGCTGAAAGCCTTCAGTCCTGAGTTGCCCTCTAAGCTGAAACCAGGCTGGGTGTATTGCCAGTTTTGTCAGCTGAACGCACCCCCACGCTCCAGCCACTGCTTCTCGTGCGGCGCGTGTATTCTACGCCGGGATCACCACTGCGTGTTCACCGGTAACTGTATTGGATTCCACAACCATCGGCACTTCCTGACCTTCCTGCTCAACTTCTGGATCGGCGCAGCGTACGCCGTAGTGCTCAACACCGTCTATCTGCACCAGGCCGGTCGCCTGTGGAGCTACAAGGACGTCATCTCCATGTTCCTGCCCATACCTGCCTATCTGTTTGGCTTCACGGAGCACTTCCACTTCTTCTCCGGCATCATGTGCACACTGAGTGTAGTCAGCCTGCTCCTGTCCACCGCCATGGCTTACTTCCAGCTGCTGCACATACTCTATGGGCAAACGGCCTACGAGCGCAAGCACCGTATCACCGACTTTGCCGTCGACTGGAAGGGAACGCTGCGCGAGATTGCCGGCACGCGCTGGTACGTTGCGCTCCTGTCGCCGCTGATACCGTCTCCGCGCCATGGCGACGGTTTGAATTTGAAGAAGGCGTCGGAGGTGAGAGCAGAGAATATCAAGACGGTGTAGGGTACTGGGAGCAGTGGCTATCTTGTCTGTTTGTTTTTAGGAGTTTTTGAAGAGTTTCAATTTCTTATTATTTCCAACGTGCCGGCCTGCTTTGATAGCCTGCTTTGATAGCCTGCTTTGATAGCCTGCTTTGATAGCCTGCTTTGATAGCCTGCTTTGATAGCCTGCTTTGATAGCCTGCTTTGATAGCCTGCTTTGATAGCCTGCTTTGATAGCCTGTGGCAAAGTGTGGATATAACAAGATGTTTTAAATGCTCTCAGCTTGAGTGCAGCATAGACTAAGTAAGTCCTGGACTGTGCTTTTTTTAGGTATGCTATGCCCCAGCCCTGGCTATGTGCCCTAGCCCTGGCTGTGTGCCCAGCCCTGGCTGTGTGCCCAGCCCTGGCTGTGTGCGCCAGCCCTAGCTATGTGCCCCAGCCCTGGCTTTGTGCCCCAGCCATGGCTGTTTGCCCCAGCCCTGGCTGTGTGGCCCAGCTCTGGCTATGGCAGCAGGCTTTGGGCCCCTAAAGACGAGTGTACCGGGTTGAACCTTTCTGTACTCCGGCTCATTATATGTTGATCTTGATAAACAGGTTTACCAATGAACTGGCATAATTCTACTGCAGTACTGCAGCTGGTGCTGCCTGTTATGCCTCTTCCCTTGTTCTATGACTAGTGTTATTTTATTCATCAGTTTGAGGGAGTGAAAAGGGGAAATCTCTTTCGTTGACTAGCTGAGGGGTCATGATGTTCACACTGCGAACAACTTGAAAATAGTCTGTTCCATTTTGGATACATTGAGCACTCGTGAACTTCGGCTTGGGGCTATGTGTGTGGATGCGTGTGTTTGTGTGGGAGGGAGGAGGGGGGGGGGGGAACGAGTCAGTATATTCTTGTTGAATTCATTGCCTACATCATGTACAAAGTATGAATACCACAAAATGCAGCATCTCCTTCGGCAAGCTGAAAATGCACCAGTACGTACCCTGGAAGCATTACTGACACAAACCTATCCATTATGAACGAGTACCATAGTTTTTTCTATGACTGAGTGGACCTAGAAAGATACTGCATGTTGTTTTCACAAAGAAAATTAATAGCACAGATTGTTTACTGGGATTTAGGGGCAGTAACCTGAGGGGTGCTGAAAATTGATCATAGTTACAGCATCACATACCATTCTGCCAAAAACGTGACCCGTGTGCCCCTATCGCACCCCCTTCAGCGGTGTAGCTGATCCCCTGGGGGGGGGGGGGGGGGGGGGTGCACGGCTGCATATTATTATGTGTAGGATGGCTGGTGCATGTCATTATGTTACGGCATGCTGGACCTAGGTTGACATTTTTAGGGGTGCCCCTGTCCTCAAGCGGGCTACGTGCCTGCCCTGGATCCGCCCCTGGGACTCTCCCCTCCCATCAGCCCATTCAAATGCAGCACATGTCAGAACTACGTCTGGTCTCATGCATTCATTTTCATGTGCCACAGCCTGCAGATATCCACATCAGTGTCTGCATCAAATCATTTTTTGGCCCAATCATTGTTTAAAGCGAGTGATGCTACAGAGATGGGTGGTACAGCCGGCCCGGCGCATGCTACAGAGATGGGTGGTACACCCGGCCCGGCGCATGCTACAGAGATGGGTGGTACACCCGGCCCGGCGCATGCTACCCCAAGAAAAGAGAATGACTGTTGTAAACCACCAGTTCTCAATTGGGAAAGGCCTTCGCGCTTATGGCATTGTATTCGTTGAAATGTTGTATTTCGACTCCGCCGTACCGCTGATGTTGCTGCATGGCATACGCTATATGCGTTGTGTGCGTTTTGCTGTATACGCTGTTATGTCCAGTTTTATATGCTTATGTTTTGCATGTACGCTGTTTCTGCATGCTATAAATAGCTGGTGTTATTAGTGTTCATTGTTAATTATCAGATGAAGTGAAATATACTGTGTAAAGGAAAAGAGTTGTCCTCGTGCCGTGTGGTCGTACGATCCTGACAATTTAGAGAATCTTAGAGGGTTCATAACATTTGGCGACCACGCCAGGATACGAAGCGAGCATGGCACAGGAACTATGGATCATTGAAGCCAGCTTTATCGCCAATGGAATTCGGTATGGATTTGAAGGTGATAGGTTGAGAGAATACGTGGAGAAGAGGCTCCGACAGAGCGAGGAGTTTGAAGAGCGCAGTGCTAGACGGCAAGAGTGTGCGCTCCGCGCAGAGTTCAACGAAAAGCTCAAGAAGATGGCCGAGCGCATCGCCGTCAGTACATATTATGAGGAAGCAAAGCGAGATATGCTTGCCTCGCCCGGAAGGACGCCGGACAAGGCGTGTAAGACTTTGCTTACAGACAAGCAGCGGTCAGAAGAGTGCTTGAAGCCAGTGGCAGGATCAGATCCAAGGCCCACTGCGTCGGTACAGAGCGTGGCAACATCGGTCGGAGACGCTCAGAAGCAGCTGGAGTCTCGGCCGAACGACGTAGAAGCGCAAGACGTAGAAGCGCAAGACGTAGAGGCGCAAGACGTTGAGGCGCAAGACGTAGAGGCGCAAGTCGTAGAGGCGCAAGACGTAGAGGCGCAAGACGTAGAGGCGCAGGACGTAAAGGCGCAAGAGTTAGAGGTGCAAGAGTTGGAGGCGCAAGAGTTGGAGGCGCAAGAGTTGGAGGCGCAAGAGTTAAAGGCGGAAGAGTTAAAGGCGGAAGAGTTAGAGGCGCAAGACTTAGAAACGCAAGGCGTAGAAGCCGAGAAAATAAGAAGGGCGATACTACTGGTTAGCACGGAAGAAGTAAGCGGCGAGACTGTGTGGAACACAAAGATCCGATGTGTGTCCTCGGATTCCGCGCCCGCCCCGGGTCGAAGTAGTGTACTGGTGACCATGTCGTGTGTGACAGCCCACATCGTCGAGCTTTATGACATTATCGGTTGTGTGTTGTGTGGTCCAGCATCTGCCCCATGTCGAAGTGGATCGGTGACAGTGTCGTGTGCGACAGTCCACAGCGGCAAGCTTCGCGATGTCGAGTTTTCTGAATTGGTGGGCATTAGTGATATTCTACCATGGCCACCACCGCAGCAGCAGATGACGCGTAGTAAGCCCCAAATCGTTTGACTTGTGAGTTGTTGTACGGCGGTGAGAAGCCCTTTGGTGGGGAGAATGTTGTGAAACCACAAGTTCTCGAGAGTGAAAGGCCTTCTCGCTTGTGACATTGTGTTCGTTCCAATGCAGCTGTATCCCGATTCCGCCGTACCGCTGATGTTTACGACGTAGTATACGCTACATGCGCTATGTGCGGTTTGCTGTGTGCGCTGTAGTTGTATGTTGTATGTGTATGCTTTTCTCATATACGCTGTCATTTTCACGCTATAACTACCTGGTGGTTTTAGTGTTAGTTCATTCAGTTAGTTTCAGTTGTTCCATTCATTGTTCATTGTTATTAGTCGATGGAAGTGAAATATACTGTTGAGAATAAATAGTTGTCCTCGTGCCGTGTGGGGTCGTTCGGTCCTGATACTTTAGAGAACCAGAGGGTTCACAACATTTGGCGACCACGCCAGGATAGGAGCGAGCATGGCAGAGCAACTACACAATTTGGAAGCCAGCTTTATCGCCAATGGAGTTCGGTTAGGATTAGAAGGCGAGTTGTTGATGGAACATGTGGAGCAGAGGCTCCAACAGTACGAGGAGCGTGAGGAGCGCAGTGCCAGACGGCGAGAGGAGGCGCTCCGCACCGAGTTTGACAAAACACTAAAGGACATTAACGAGCGCATCGCCAATGCGTATGAGGGTGATGGTAAAGCCGCGATGGGAGGTACAGAGGAAGCTCCCAGTAACAGCGGGGGGCGTCAACCGTTGATGAAAATCCCCTCATATGATGGAACGCAGCCATTGGAGCGTTATCTTGACCTGTTCGAGGACATCTGCTCCAAGAACGAGTTCGAAGAAAGCGAATGGCTGCTGCGACTGCGCATCGCGCTAGCGGGTAGCAAAGCGGAGAGGATATGTATTGGATGCAATAATTACGAGGAAGCGAAGCGAGAGTTGCTCGCCTCGCTCGGAAAGACTCCGGATAAAGCGTGGAAGACATTGCTGACAGGCAAGCAGCGGTCAGATGAGTCGTTTCACCAATACGTTGTCCGTGTTTGCCGAGAAGTAGAAGTGTGGGCCACACTCGCTATGACAGAAGATGGCGAGGTGGACACCAAGTATAGCGCCGATATAGGTAAAATGTCCCCGGTGCTGCAAGCAATGGCAAAGCAGGTAATCTTGGAGCAATGCGGACCTGAGATGAAGACGTACCTGGTCGAACGGCAGTGCTACGGGATGTCACTGCGCCAGGTACAGGAGCACGGCGCGTCTTACCAGGTCGCGCACGGACGACAGGGTGATACTGCCAGGAAGCCAGTAGAACGATCCGTGCCAAGGCCCACGGCGTCGGCACAGTGCATGGCGATATCGGTCGCAGATGCCGAGAAGCAGCTAAAGTCGCTGCCACTAGAAGGGAGAAAGGGTTTTCTGCAGCGAGAGAGACTCTGCTGGAACTGCCTTAAGTATGGCCATATGGCCAGAGAATGTCGGTCAGGCTCGAGATGCACGAAATGCCAGAGGAAACACCACCTGCTAATACATGAGGTGTTGGATAGAGCAGGTTACAGCCGGGAGAAACCGACTGAGATAGTTACGGAGAAGAATGTTGGGTCGTGCTGTCTACACTCGCCAAGTGTGCGGCTGATGACCGGAGTGGCACGAGTTGAGGGAAGAACTCGAAACGCGAAGGTTCGCGTGTTCCTGGACTCGGGTGCTGAGGCGTCATTCGTGACTGCAGCGTTGGTGTCAGCAATCGATGCAGAACACGTTGGGGTTGAAAATGTAGAGGTGAAGCCGTTCGGCGCGGAACCAACCCAACAGCGCATGGATAAGTACGCCATCACGATCCAGGGTAGCTCCGCTAGCATTCGGGTACGCGCGTTCGTGAAACCAACGCTTGAGATGGACCTGAAGTGCGCAAGTCCGCAGACCATTGCCCAGTGGCACAGTTGGGGAGTAGAGCTGAGTGACAAGCCTCAACAAGGGACATCAGACGAAATACATATGCTGATTGGTGCAGACTATATCAACGCGGTACTGCACAGCAAGAAGGAAGTTAATGGTGAGACGGTGTGGAACACAGAGATAGGTAATGTATTATCTGGTCCAGCGTCTGCACCAAGTCGAAACAGTCAGCCGGTGACCGTGTCATGTGTCACAGCCCACATTGAACAACTATGGCAGTTGGATGAACCTCCAGAACAACATCAGCACCTGCCATCTTTCCCGCTATGTCGCCAGGGCAGCGGGTACCAAGTGGGTCTCTTGTGGCGAAATGAGCGTCGCCCAACGGATAACTTTGCTCAAGCTAGAGTCATCGCAACGCGGCTTCTTGAAAAGCTGAAGAGGAAAGGGAAGCGTGCGCTCTATGATGATGTGCTGATCAGGGAGTACCGCGAGCTTGGAGCAATTGAGCTGGAGCCATGTGAGAGCGATGCCGGGTACTATGTACCGCATCATGGTGTATTCCGCGAGCACGCTGCAACCACGAAGTTAAGAGTGGTGTTCAATGCCTCGGCGACGGCTCCAGATGGCAAGTCGTTGAACGACATGGTTGACCCTGGACCGTCGCTATTGCCGAGTCTCGCAGGTATGCTATTACGGTTCCGTGAATATAAGAGCGCGCTGCAAGCGGACATCCGCAAGGCTTTCTTCATGGTCGCGGTTAATCCCGAAGACCGTCCGTACCTGCGTTTCTTGTGGCCCGGTCGAAGCGACAGCGATGAACTGTTAACCTGGAGGCTAACGAAACTGCCATTTGGCGTAAACTGCTCGCCGTACATGCTTACTGCGGTGATTCAGCATCACTTGAAGGAGCTACGGGCGTTGTCTGCACCCAAAGAGCGAGATCGTATTGATCTCTTGCTCACGAGTTTCTACGTTGACGATTTGGTCTCTAGTGTGTCAAATGCCTCGGAAGCCAAGGAGATGCAAGAGTTCAGCGTGCGTGTGCTTACGGATGCTGGCATGGAGTTACGCAAGTGGCGAGGCAACGAAATCCCGTGCGATCCAGAGGCCGGAGATAAAGTCCTCGGTCTGAAATGGAAAACCAGTGATGACTTGCTCAGCATAGCAGCGCTAGGCGAGTCCGATAGGCCGTCTGTTTGGACCCGGCGATCCCTCCTCAAGTGTGTTGCATCAGTGTTTGATCCGCTAGGTCTAGCAGCACCGGCAGTTGTGCCGGGAAAGATACTGCTACAGCAAGCCTGGAAAGTCGGAGGCGACTGGGATGATATGTTGCCTGATGGCATCGCAGCCGCATGTGCGCAATGGTGGGGAGAGTTGGCCGAAGTGGTGAGCATTGACATACCACGTTGGATTTGCTGCAATCTTGACACGCCGATTGCGCTTCATGCCTTCGCCGATGCCAGTGAGAAAGCGTTTGGATGTTGTTTGTATGCAGTCGTCAATGGACAGTCGCACTTGGTATTTGCCAAGGCCAAAGTGTCACCTGTGTCTCCGCCCACGTTAGCCCGCCTTGAGTTACAAGCAGTATGTTTAGCGGCTCGCTACGCTGAGTTTGTGGTGAAGGAGCTGCGTGTTACTGTCACGCAAGTCTATGGCTGGACTGACAGTCTCACTACCGTTCATTGGATCAGCAATCCATCGTACAAATGGAAAACATTTGTGGCTAACCGCGTCAGTCAAGTCCAAGAGATATCGAAGAAGGTCGGCATTGTGTGGAACCATTGCCCGGGCCTTCACAACCCAGCAGATTTACCGTCCCGTGGGAGTAGTGCACAGCAGATCCGTAGTCCGTTCTGGAGGGGCGGACCAACCTGGATCACGGAGCCCAATGACTGGCCCACCGCATCCTCAACCGCAGCTACAGATGAGTCCAGTGTAGAAGTACGAGTGTCAGCCACCACCTGTAGTCGAGAATCTGATAAGGAATGGTGGCTCCGATTCAGTAAATGGTCGAGGGCACAGGGCATGGTGACTCGGATGTTGCAGTGGAAGCACACTGAGCCTCGTGCTGAACTCTATTTTGAAGCAGACAACGTATTGTACCGCATCGTTCAAGCCGCATGTTTCGCTGAGGATCTTGAGCTGATCAAGCAAGGTCAACCAGTGAAGCCCGGGTCGAAGGTGTATCAGCTTGCACCGTTTCTGAATGAGCATGGAGTGCTCAGAGCCGGGGGACGACTTCAGCACAGCGAGTTGGCGTATGGAGCCAAGCACCCAGTCCTGTTAGGCAAACATCATCTGACCGATTTGCTGTTGGAGAAAATGCATGTTGAAAGGATGCACCAAGGTGTAGAAGGAGTCTTGTCGTTTATCCGTCAGAAATTCTGGATTATCGGTGGTCGACGAGCGCTACGCAACATTACTCAGCGATGTGTTACATGCCGCCGCTACAAGGCTAAGGCTGCCTCAGAAGTCTGCCCGCCGCTGCCAGAAGACCGAGTTGTTCACGAGAGGCCGTTCGCAACTACCGGCATCGACTATGCTGGTCCGTTGTACGTGCGCCGTGGTGAGTCATCTCCGAAGGTATGGATAGCATTGTTTGTGTGTGCCACCACCAGAGCAGTTCACTTGGAGGTGGTCGATAGTTTAAGTACCGAGTCATTCTTGATGGCATTTCGGAAGTTTGTCGCGAGACGTAGTTTGCCGTCTCGGATCAGGTCTGACAACGCTACAACGTTTAAGGCGGCATCTGACAAACTGAGTGTGCCATGGATGTTCAATCCTCCAGCTGCACCATGGCATGGAGGCTTCTATGAGCGAATGGTTGGTACAGTGAAGAGTGCCTTGAAAAAGGTAATGGGAACAGCGTTTCTGAAGGTTCAGGAGCTTGAGACCATCTTGTATGAGGTTGAAGCAGTGGTGAATAGTCGTCCGTTAACTTATGTGTCTGATAGCCTGGATGAGCCACCAGTAACCCCTGCAATGATGATGGGTAACATTTGGATGTCGTCAGCGAAGCCAGCAGGTACCCCGGACGCTACGCATATGTCAGCGAGATTGCGTTACCTCAGTCAGACACTGAAGCATGTCAAGAATCGTTGGGAGGTGGAGTACCTAAGTCAGCTGAACAAGCACCAACAGACCATGTCGCGCCCTTTAGCTGTGGGTGATGTTGTCTTTGTTCTCGATGATACCAAGCGCAAACAGTTCTGGCGTTTGGGACGGATCATCGAGTTATTCCCTGGTCGAGATGGCAAGCGTCGTGTTGCCAAGGTTAAGTTGAGTACCAGTACCCTGTTGAGGCCGATCCAAAGGTTAGTGCCATTAGAAGTATCGTCACAGGACGTGGCTCCTGGGCTTGCCGATACCGCTCAACCTGCTATCGTCCCTCAGCGGCCAGCGTATGAACCGCCAGCACCGTTACCACCACCACGGCAGCAGGAGATAACGCGTTCTGGGCGCGTAGTCAGAGCCCCGGATCGTTTTTGACTGGTGTGCATTGTTGTACGGCGGTGAGAAGCCCTTTGGTGGGGAGAATGTTGTAAACCACCAGTTCTCAATTGGGAAAGGCCTTCGCGCTTATGGCATTGTATTCGTTGAAATGTTGTATTTCGACTCCGCCGTACCGCTGATGTTGCTGCATGGCATACGCTATATGCGTTGTGTGCGTTTTGCTGTATACGCTGTTATGTCCAGTTTTATATGCTTATGTTTTGCATGTACGCTGTTTCTGCATGCTATAAATAGCTGGTGTTATTAGTGTTCATTGTTAATTATCAGATGAAGTGAAATATACTGTGTAAAGGAAAAGAGTTGTCCTCGTGCCGTGTGGTCGTACGATCCTGACAATTTAGAGAATCTTAGAGGGTTCATAACAATGACAGTGGAACCATCATGTTGATATTGTAGTTTTCACCATTTCAGACAGCACTACATAAACATCAAGAGTCAACAAAGGAAGTCACATGACTCCCTGATCTACAGACTACTAACTCAGCACATTATGGGAGAATGACTTATAGACTAAGTTAGAGACCATTGACAAAGCTGAAGACAACGCTAAGAGACCGGCATCGTGATGGAAGAGTTGTAGGAGGGAAAGAGAAAGTCGTCACTGCAGAAGCTGTAGATGGTTTAGGTACCATCAGGACAGAAGATCGAGACCATCATTAGTGCTTATGCTGCATCGGACCACCCAATGGGGACAATGCCAATCTTGCACTGACAAGGCCTCATGAGTTGGCGTTTGCAATGCCATAAAGTTTAATATGTTCCTATTGTTCAGCAAGACTCAATGTAGCAACAAGAAGGATGGATTGTGCAGCAAGCATCATTTATTTGTCAACATGTATGATAATATTGTAGAAAAGACTCAAGACTCAATGTGCTCCTGTTCAACATGTAGATGAGTTAAAGCCTCCGCATCATCGGCAGGGCATGTTACTCACAGTCATCGTGCCACCACAGATGTACTATAACTTGTTGTCATGGCTATCAGGCCGTGCTGTGATAAAATGAGCTGATCTGCATTGCTCTCAGCTCTTGCCGCACGGGTTGCTGGCAATCCATGGACTAGCTGAGCCATCGTCACTCTACAGCGGCGGCAAAGAGTTACTCACTGCGTTGAAGGCGTCCGTTGTCCTATGCACTGATCCACTGTACATCACAGGCATCGGTATGATGTCATGATTACATCATTAGGTATTATAAGAAATCATGACATCAGAAATGACATCATGGTGACATCATCAGCACGTGTGCTGACAGATGCAGAGGTCCTGGCCTTCGTCACTCACCACAGTACGGTGCGACCATATACGGCAATGGATACTGAGGCTGGTAAGAATCAATCTCTTTACTTCTCCACTATGTGAGAGATGCTGGATCAGTGGCGGCACCAATATTGTCGAAACTGTGGTGAGCACGCTGGAGAGAAAAGTTCAGAGGAGTTCTAACTGATGTGTGTCCCAGTGAGCTGTGAGGACGCATTGCACTGGCCGGTGGTGGCTCGGCAGTATACCCAGGTAGGGGTCTGAGGTCCATTGACGTGTATGGTCTTGACGGCATAACAAGAGGATTCGGACTGTCGTCCAGCAAGAAGTACTGAAGTGGCGACGGGGCAGCCGATGAGCTCCAGGAGCGGTTTCGCCGAGGTGGACATCCCAGCCGATGCTGTGGCGGGGGTGGCAGCAGTGTGAGATGAGTCTCGCCAGGGGCAGCCAGTGTGTACATGTGACGGATGTCGGGCGATACGGACGTGGATCTGGAAAACGGCCGCGGCCTCTCTATCGTCTCACCGCCGCTGCACGGCTTTGCTGACGATGCGGCCGCTGCCATTGCTCCAGACGACGCTGATCCCAATTTGTGTGGCACATTGTGTATACCAGCGTCGTAACTACGTGACATTGACTTGCTGCCGCCGGTCATCGGTGGTGGCGGTGGCAGTGGGGTCATTCTTAGCTTGCAATTGCGTGCAGCCGCGGATGCATACGACGCATACTTCAGACGGCCCTGCTCCACCTCGGAGTCGTCACTTGTTGAATCTGACTGGTACACAAGTTCATCTTCATCCAGGTTCGGTATCGGCGACACTCGCCGCATCATCTCCACTGACGGCTCCTCCATAATTGGCTGCGTAACGTCATGGTAGCAGGGCAGCATGTGTTGCTGTTGCGACTGCTGCTCTGTGTCCGTGTTCAGCTGCTCAAACTCGGCCAGCATACTCTCAGTGACCGGCGCTAAACTTTGCTGTGCCTGCGCTCGGTACCGCATGGCCTGCCGCTGCAACGAGAGCAGCTCTCGCGACGATAGCGGCTTAGTGCTGTACGGTGGCGGTAGCTCTCGCAGCGTAGTCAGCACTGGCGACCAAGTGCTGGCCGTGGCCTGCTGCTGGTGCGGTCCGTGATCGTCATGGCTACGACCGCAGCGTAGGTAGCGCGTGCGGCTTCTGACCAGTATGGCCAGGCAGAGCATGATGGCGATGCACAGAAACACTCCCATGATCCTGGAGACACACCGCAGCAGCGAAGGGAGCAGCAATACAGACATACATATTCACAGTTAGAAACTTAGAATCCATCAGGCTGCACACGAAGGAAGACACCAGCATTATGATAATATGCATGTATGTAGAAAGCTGAAATGCAGATTACAGTCATGACAACCTTGTGAATAGCGACCCTCAATCAGCTATGAGTTATTTGGGTTAAGAGTATGACTGTGTAGAAGTGCTTACTTGGTGTGTAGAGAGTGAGAGAGTGTTGTTATTCAGGAGGTACGAGTATAGGAGTACACTATGCCATAGTGAAAGTCTGCCGTTCCGCCACGCACACTGCCGTTCCGCCACGCACACTGCCATGCACACTGCCGTTCCGCCACGCACACTGCCGTTCCGCCACGCACACTGCCATGCACACTGCCGTTCCGCCACGCACACTGCCATGCACACTGCCGTTCCGCCACGCACACTGCCATGCACACTGCCGTTCCGCCACGCACACTGCCATGAACACTGCCGTTCCGCCACGCACACTGCCGTTCCGCCACGCACACTGCCATGCACACTGCCGTTTCGCCACGCACACTGCCACATGCAGTAGGTGAAGAAGCCGGACACACAGAAGAACACACGCACGCGGACACAGATGTGCAAACTCACCAGAGTGCCCGTACGGACGCCGATCGCTCGCAACACATTGATCCATTCTGCCCGTCAGGACAGCAGAACTCCAAAGAGCCACAGTCACTGTCCTTCAGACACATGATAGTGCCTTGCAAGCTGACCTGAACAGGCACAAAAGAACAATGCACAGAATTCAGTAGAATATTAGAATCGGGAAGAGAAGATATGAACTTTAACCACACAAAGCCGCATCAAGTCCTTGGCTACACAAAAAAACCCTCTCCAAATCTCTCCAAATACTTCAAATACTTTCCGGAGGAGGGGGGGGGGGGGGGGGGGGGGGCTGATAAGAGAAGATAACCCAGAAACCAATGGAACCACTTCAGCCACCGTTTACCCCTCCTATCAAACTTCTTGAACTGGACATCGAGGTTGTTATCTCATTGTTAGTCGCAATCACGGTCCTGATTCCTACCAGATCGTGACCCTTGCAATGTACATGTACTGTAGCAACTGGAAATGCTCAAAAACTCCACAACAATTCCCCTGGACTGTGTAAAATCTATTGTCGAGCATGTAGTAAATTCAGGCTCAACCGGGTCCTTGAAGTAGATTCAGTTCTTGTTAGATCTCAGCCGTTTCAGCTGATCACGTGCCATGCCTAGGTAGATAGACCTGCAGATCTGGAGACTGTTCTGACTTTGGGTTCAGTGTGCATATAACTACTACCAATAGAATTGGGCGGTGCATGGTGTACATCAGGGCTGCCGGAACCGGTCCCGTTGGTCCGGTTATTACCGGATCAACATTTTGGCCACAAACACAACATGTCATGTTTACTACTGCGGAGGCCATGTGTACCTGCCATGTGTACCTGCCATGTGTACCTGCCATGTCATACACAAACTGTATGAAAGGCACTGTTACTACCGGAGCAATCAAAACCTGCTTCAAGCAGTCCTGTACATATGCTTCAAGCAGCTTGCTTTAAAAAGCATCAACAGTGCCCGCTTGTCTTCAAGATCAAAGTAAACATTTCCACACAGTCACCACCCAACCGTGACCATTCGGCCGGGATGGGCAGGTAGTTCACCGCGTGTCAGATACTTCCAGACACATGTAGCTAGTTGATCATAACACTGAGCCCCAGCCTGAGTCAGTCTTGCCCTAAGCCTCTGCCCCAGTCAGTCTTGCCCTAAGCCTCTGGAGCTGTGCTGCTGAGGGCAATGTTGTCTAGACTGAGCTTAGCAGTCACAGGATACCGCAGTACTCCTACTGAATCCTGTTGTGATTGTTGTAGGCAATGGCATCATATGCGGGCAAGCAAGAACCATCTGTTCGTCTATCCGTCTCATCTGGTCTGCGTGAATAATACACAGTGGGGGTAATTCACCCTCGTTCACACGGGCACTTCTATCTGCAGTGTAGGTTAGTTTGGTGTGCCCCATTGCCTGGAGTCAGCGCATGCATAACTAACTAAGCCGTCGTACATGGGCAGGGTACCTTGTTCTCACTGACTGCATACCAGTTGTTCAGACCTGGTTAAGTTAATACTCATGAGCAGTGACTCGTCCTGATGGATGTGGAGCACAACCCTTTGACCCTGCATGTCCACACTTGTTCTGACCTAGTTCATCCTCATGAAGGAATCCTGATGGATACACGCAGCCCTTTGACCATGCATGCATGCAGAGAGCTTGCTAAGACCCTCAACACAGCCTGCAAGAGAATCTTCAAAGACTGCAACTGTTCTCAGTTCACATGATGCATCTAAGTCTTTTTTGTTGTTGTGAGCCACTCAGTGTGCATAGGCTAAATTGACTGTTTCATCACTATCAAATGAAGATATGACAGTGCTACTAGGACATCATTCCTCAGTGCAAGTAGCCATACTATCCATATTATGGACTGTGTGTGCATAATGGACACAGCCAACTACAGTGACATCAGCCTTGTCTACACGACATTATGATTTGTACTACAACACACACGTGTACGTAACCCCATTGCACCACAACTTACTGATAACACACAGCGTCATGCAGTGACGCCACCACGTCCCTACATACACTAGTACACGATGTGCACCTACATGTACATACACTGTACTATAGTGAAGACTCGTGTAGAGCGTGAATACACGAAAGCCAGGCTAAGAAAGCAGCACTGATCTTGCAGCAACATGAACGCCCATTACTCATGGACCATTGGCATTGAATATTGGCAAACCCATGAAGGAAGTAACACGTTAGAAAGAGGGATGCCCTCAGAAAAGTTAATGATGGTGTACCGAACGTGTCAGTACACATTGAGCATCATCACGAGTGCTGTGACCTCGAGAAGCCCTCACAAACCAAACAACTTCACATTCGCTATCGAGGTGTTTCGACGCTTCCCGCTGCCACCACCACGAGCAGAGACTGATCGCTTGTCATGGTGGATAGTAATCAATAATCATTGACACGATAGTCGTACGCTGGAGAACTCAAGTGTCCCACAAACCTTTGAACGGGAATGCCATAACCAATGTGCTCGCTAGCGACATTTACAGCTCAGAAAAAGTAACTTGGAAGAGGAATGTCTGGATGAAGGGGAACTTCAGAATTTTGTAAGACCATTCTTGAACACTTCAAAAACACACTTACATTGAATACAATGCCTTCTCCACGGTGGTGGCTCTCCATACTCCTTTCCTCGTCAGGCTCAGCTCCTTTACAGTTTACTCCGCTCAAGCTTCGGAATCGTCTCCCGCCAATCAGTAACTCCAGGCAAAGTAGAGCTCCAACAGAAATGATGTTGCAATCCCAACTGACAGGCAATGGTATTCGCAACTTTGCCCAGATGACGACTGCGATTTTGCCGGAAGCGCCTTCCGTCAGGCGAGCGTCAACTGATGCTGCGGGTCCCGTGACCGCCAGGGCTTGTTGTTTCGACACCGCACCGATATATGTCCGCACAGCCTAGTCTACGTCGTCGCACATGTACATCTACCCCCCAACACTGACCACAATGCCTGTGCATGTGGTGGGCATACTCAGCTTTGCACGGGAAAGGACAGACCTGGGTTCGGGGAGAGTCTGATGACGCTTCGCGCCAGAGTACATGACACTGTCGACATCAGACAGTAGCAGTGCTGTATAGACTTTATTCCCACGCTCCACTCATAACCAGGGAAAACTCAATGGAGTACAATTATCATAATACGAAGCACCCTCTTCTGCTAGTCGCTATTCACCTGGTCAGTGGGTGTGCGAGTCGGCGTATCGACTCTAGAGTGTCGAACACAGCTGACACGCCACGCCGATAGCGACACACTCAGCTCCGCCGAAGCGTTACTCGCGTAGGGTTCCCGCACTGCCCGCTCGCTAGGCGAGGCGCAGTACCTCACACAGCAATTCACATGATTACAAGGGAGCTAATTCGGGTTGCTGCTGATCGGAGCTGGAAAGTTCTGAGATTTGGCGCGAAAGCCTAGGCTATAGCAGACTGCTAGAGGTGTCATGTGAAGTGTGTGTCCAATCTAGGCAGAACTACTGACGTATGTGTGTGTTCTCAGCAGCTCGCTGAACCACTGACCGGTAGCCGGTGTGTGAATGGACGTTAGACAGCGTCAGTACACCGACTGACAATTGGTCGAGGGCACGATGAATAACGTTGTGCATGCTTGATCAGCCACTGCCCACCATGCATAACGAGTGTTCAGAGCCCTCCGCGTACCTCTCTCCTACACAGTATGCCCTAATCATTGGCCCCGAGTAATACAGGAAGCTGTTGGCCGGTTGTTTACCGGTAACAGTATATCGGTATACTAACTCGTATCGATCTACATAGTCATGTTTGCATTGTCCAGTCGCAACAGGTGAACTGATCTCGTACACCAGTAGTAACTGATTCTGTTGAAAACTATCAGAACGTCATGATTGGAGCATTATTCAGCTCGTAATGGCGTGTGTTACAAGGCCTCGCGGTTCTAGAAGTGTGTTTGTTCAGCCCTGGGCAGCATCGGCACCCGTCTTTGACGGTAAGGAGAAGGAGCAGGCAATGGTGTGCACACTGGGGGACGTCTGGGCAGGTGGCGAACGGGCGTGCTAATGCAGTGCAGGTGCGACCTTGCCAGTGCTGTGTCCTACTTCTAGTCTCACGCTTGTGCTGCAGTGCAGGTGGGTGGACGCATTGTCCTGCCTTGGTGGTGAGGCGCAGGCAATACTGCTATCCAGTGAGTTGACATAACACGTGACACTGGCGATTGCCGTTAGGGTTTACACGTCAAAACAAAAGGTGCCCTGGCAAGTGCAGTAGTTGGCCTGCAAAAGTGCGCAACACACAATGTATGCACTATCGCACGTACCTCCGCCACTATAGACCTACATGTAGGCACTGTAGAGCCTCCTTTACGGCCGAAAGAAACACAATGGATGAAAATGCAATACAAATGTAAACCCAGAAAACCAGAAAAGGAACAATTATGTAACCCAAAAGAAAAACAATGTGTGATTACTACTATGTACGTGATGGATTGTATGTGCTCTAGACCTACATGTACATGTAGGTACGTTCCTCATTATCGTCAATGCTATCCCACCATTCACCTTGTGCCACTGAACTCAGGGCTACAACATATCTTTAGTTTCCAGACGGCCTCAGCTGCATGGGGGCATACATGATACAGATCATGTAAGCATCGCCGTAATGCAGTTCAATAACCTTGTCCAGTACTGATGCTGGTTTGGAGGTGTATTTGCGCTTTTATCGTGGCTAAATGGAGCTGGTCATCGTTTTACAACAACGATGCAATGTATATCCAGTATTTGCAGGTTTGGTAGAAGGTTGGTGGGATGTGTACAGTAGTTGGAAAGTTTCTCACTTTTACAAGTCGACGAGTTAACGCGAGTTGCACACAAACTTTCAGCATCCTTGTACCAGACACATGACATTATTTAGCACCAGTGCGCCTTTTAGCTTCTTCCAGTTCCTCTTGGAAGGTCCACTGATGGGTCCACGTGTAAGTGAGCCTAATCGGGTGTGCAATGCAATTAATTGAAATCATTCGTCACGTAATAGAGTTGTATTTTGATGCCGTGAAGGATCTTTAGGGTTCAAATCAGACTGCAACAGGCAATGACTAGAAATGATCAAGTTGAACTCCATGCGTGGATTTTGAACATAGCTTGTATTCGTGTTACACACGGTGATGACCTACTAGTATATGTACGGAGCTTGCAAAGAAGACTTGACATGTTGCAGACACCCGCCTCCCTTTGTGAATCAGCGGATGCATGGGAAATGCACTAACATAAGTCAGCAAGTTGCAGGCACCAGTATGGCCGAGATGCGGGCAGCTTTGGTGGAAGTTAGTTTGTCCAACGACAGACGACGCACGAGAGCCTAGTTCAGGTACTTGGTGTTTGCTTCATAAACGTCGAGAACCGCCGAGTAGATCTACGTAGTCTACTCAGCCTCTTTCATGGGCAAAATAAACACAATGAATATCTTTTCCCCAATGTTCCACAACATTGAGTACATCGTCTACTTAAAAGTAAATGTATTCTAGCTCGTAAACGGATAAGAAGGCTTGCTAAGGCACAATCGAGGTCTAGCCATAAATCTGCGAGGTTGTTCATGGAATTCGGTCGCACAATGGAGATACTAGTGCGGTAGAGTCAGGTAGCCGTGTAATGATAGAGCCCTGAGCAGAGTGGTAATGTGTGTTATGTGTAAGGGGTTGTAGATGGAGCCCTGGGCTGAGTAGTGTTAAGTGTGTAAGGGGGAGGGGGGGGGGGGGCGGGTGTTCTGACAAATATGTGTTATGTGTAGGGGTTGTAGATGCACACTACGGCGGTGCTTGGAGGGAATCCGTGCCGATTGTCGCCCCTAAGATGAAGTATGTTGTTGTTGTGCTAGTCATGCGTAGATCTACTGCTCCAAGGTGGCTTCATAACCATTCCTAAACTATCTCTGGCATTCACGGGTCTACCTCTGTCAGCTTGTTGTTGTTCTGCTCAGACGTGGCATGGCATTCCGCGCGCACATCTACGATTGCCCACATGATATTGAACGAAATTCTGATCAAAAACAACACCGTCGTGTATGACTGTATTGATTTCGTGGGAGAGGATATAATTCAAGGTAAATATTGGGTTGGTTCAGCCACTGAAGCCCCGTCTAAACACACATGTTTACACCCATCCATGGCAGACTCCTCTACTCCTCTAGCTACACAATCAGGTACTGAAGTACATGTACTTCGATATAAGTACAATCATGTATTGTACTCCCATCCAACCGCTACTGCCTGGCTTGGATCTGAATCAGTACTCGTTTTGGTGCGTTTTAAAACGAAGCCTTAAGCAGAAGGCGAGATAAGACATAGCAGTAATTCGGACATATAGTCTACTCAGGGTTTACTCTTGGGAGATGTCGTGTCTGATGATTGCACCGTCTGTGGCATAACACATCGAAGAAGAGACCGGTTTAAATCGACATTTCACTGGATCTAGTTCCGATTCAGCCATGTCTTGTATTGGAGTGTTCCGAGCATACTTATGCTCGGTTCCTCCTTGCAATATCCGCTACGTATCCCTGGCACGGTTTCAAAAAATCATCTCTCAGTTTGCCTCCCTCAGGCTCTCCTTCCCTCCCTCTGCATGACTCTCCCTCCTCTCTTCTTCCCTTCTTTTTCCTCGCTCTATCGTCACATTGTACATGACACACATCTCCCTCCGTACTGGTTGTATTTCTCTAACATTTACGACAGGTTTATCACCTTCACAGTGCCACAACCATGGTCTTATCACCCTATTTCAATTGTGATTCATAATATCGCCCAATGTTCGCCCAGTTAGGGCTTCATGACATGTGGTTGGGAGTAAAGTTGAAGTGCGCTGTGGGGTTGCGGCTACTGACAGCCGATGAGGTGCTCGGCGTGATGATGGATGGTTCGGGGGACTCCCCCGGAGATTTATATGCGGTATGACTGGTTATGCGGTATGACATCAACTCGATGATCTTGTGCAATCACTTTAGGCAAGAGTACATACCTTGCTTTAGGGGAATCGGGATCAGCATTAGTCATGAATATGAAGGTCGTACCCTCCCTGACTGCCACCAACTATAAGGGTACCCTGTGAAAAGGCCCTAGGCCTGTGGGACTGCCCTATTCAAAATTTAATAATAATAATAATGACGACTACACCATAGCTCAGTGGTTAGAGCATCGCTAGCTACAAGCGAGGGTCCCTGGTTCGAGTCCTGGTGGTGACAGTCAATTTTTTCTTCAGACTTTTCCCGTTTGTCTCTTTCCCTCAAACTAGTGAAAATAATAATAATAATAATAATAATAATTTATGAAAGGATTGGGAGGACTTCAAATTCAAAGGAACAGTAGGGTTTGAATTTGAAGTTCTCCCAATCCTTTCATCAATTTATCACTCTCTTTCACTTCTGGTAGGGTCTAGAAACTGACCGTGGTTGGTCCCCTGGGGGAGGGAGAAAGACCCAAGTGCCATCAGTATGTGTAGCACGTGTTGTGAGCTGCCTTTGGAGTGAAAACCTTGTCAGGTTTCAGCCCGGTCCCATAGCTCAGTGGTTAGAGCATTGCTCATGACAAGCAAGGTCCCGGGTTCGAGTCCTGGTGGGTCTGGCGATTTTTTCTCTTTTCAGGCAGTTCACTTCCCCTACTGTTCCTTTGAATTTGAAGTTCTCCCAATCCTTTCATCAATTTATCACTCTCTTTCACTTCTGGTAGGGTCCAGAAACTGACCGTGGTTGGTCCCCTGGGGGAGGGAGAAAGACCCAAGTGCCATCAGTATAGGTGGCACGTGTTGTGAGCTGCCTTTGGAGTGAACAACTTGTCAGCGCCTTCTAGGTTCAGCCCGGTCCCAAAGCTCAGTGGTTAGAGCATTGCTCATGACAAGCAAGGTCCCGGGTTCGAGTCCTGGTGGGTCTGGCGATTTTTTCTCTTTTCAGGCAGTTCACTTCCCCCACTGTTCCTTTGAATTTGAAGTTCTCCCAATCCTTTCATAAACTTATCACCCTCTTTCACTTCTGGTAGGGTCCAGAAACTGACCGTGGTTGGTCCCCTGGGGGAGGGAGAAAGACCCAA